ACTGCAATGCATAATCCACTGTCCATGCTTGAAAATAAGTCCCCCGCCCAATGTCCGACCCTCATATTCTGCCGTGCTGAAAAAGGCCTTCATGGGCGCCATTTCGCGGGGGCCGTTTGCCTCCAGTTATGGTGTAGAAAACAATATGTGCGGTTCCTTGAGCCCTTAGTTGTGCGGACTCCACCAAACGCGCATCTCTCCTGGTGGGCGGGTCCATCACGGCATGCCGGGCCGCTTTGGTCGACCTGCCGAGTCCCCGGCTCAGCTCAACCGGTATCCAGCGTCTCAATCCCACCCTGGCTGTCCAAACCCTGTGCTCGCCTGCCGAGGCCCTGAACCACGCTGTGCGCCGATGAGGCGAGGCCGGTGAAGGCAAGGCCTGCGGTGCGGCCCCCAGGCGGGCCCCTCGAAGCCTTTTGGGCCCCGGGTTCGTCCGTGGTTTTCTTAAGTCGTCTTGTTCTCCTTTTGAGGATGGGTTTGGGGTTTGCCCTGTATGATTGAGGTCAGCAACCCCCCAGCCATGGTCATGAGTCAGGAGCATCCGCCCGAGCATCAGCCCCCTCCCCGCCTCTATTGGGTGGTTGAGGTGTGGTTTAGGGTTGGTTTTAGGGCCGCTTTGGGGTGGCTTGGAGTGTGTTTTCGGTGTGTCTCGGGTTGATTGGTTTAGGGTGTGTGTAGGGTGGCTCAAGGTGGGTTTAGGATTGGTTTAGGTTGGTTCAGGGTTGGCTGGTTGGCTTGTCGTGCCGGGCGAGGGGGCGGGGGCCTGGGCGGGTGCTCTCGACCATGAAAATCCATGTTGTATCGCTGATTTTTGTTGGAGAAGGGGAGGCGTTTGTCTTTTGGGCGTCGTCAATGTGGCTCCCATAGAGGCACCTCCCCAAAAAAAGAAGAACAATGCAAAGCGCCAATCGCTTGCACGGGGGAAAGCACTCAACCAAAGTCTGCCTGGTATCCTAGTGAACGAATCCTGGGGAGTAGTTGCCTTTGCTGTGCATCCGCTGAGAATCCCCTGGCGCCACTCATCCGAGCGCCCCAAACCCCCTTGACCTGTGGTTCTACCAAGATGCTTAAAACATTCAAGAGGGTCACGCCGAACCACTAGCGGGATCCCAAGCCTTGTGTAGCCCCCAGAATAAGTGCTCGAGAAAGGGCTACACCAGCTCCCAACCGGTCGCGAAACCCAACTGAAAAGCAAGGCACTGGCCTCCAGCCCACGCCAACACCAGCGCCACGGGGGCCAGGTGTCGCTTCCTTCCGAGGCACAACAAGAAGCTTTGATAAATAGTGGGAGGATTCTCTATTGCGGAACTTAACCAAGGGTTGGTGAATTCTGGGTTCGTAGTACCTCAAAACAACAAAACAATTGCAATGGCAGGAAGCTCACACGGCATTGCCGCCCTCGAACAATTAACATAGTGTTAAAACAATGGGCTCAAAAACTATTGGACACACTTCGGCGTATTCACCCACTCTCACCTGTGCGGAAAGCTCCTGACGTCCATGGTCAGCTTGACGGAGCGAAGGCAAATTACCTCGATCTTCTTAAGTTGCGGCCGCAGCCAAACCTCGGGTTTTGTCCTAAACAGAACTTGGCAAGCGCGAAGCCGCTTTGTGCCTCGAAATCTTTGCCTCTCCAATCAGTTGCTCTGTGCGAACTTGTGTCACAGGTGTGGCATCAATCAGCCAACTCACCTTGAATCAATCAGCTGCGGGGCAGGCGGTGCGAGCAACTGACTCAGCTGCAGACGTGGCAAGAAAAGGCGCCTTGCTCCTTGTTTGTGTCAGAAGCAGGGACCCTCGAAATGATGATGCTCCTGTTGGTATGCAAACCACATATGTGTAGGTTGTAGATGTTATGTGTATGTGTATGTATATATATATATATATGTTCTTGTATGTAGTCTTGTTTGTGTTAGCTGGATCCATCCAAGAGGTTGTAAAATACAACCATGATGGTTCCTGCACGAGTACCCTTCCAGTACCCTGCGTGCGAGTGTGCGAGTAGTGCGGGCGAGTGTGCGAGTGTGTGAGTGGAACGGACGAGCGAGCGGACGAGTGGATGAGCGACTCGACACTAGTACAGAAATAAGGTTATTTTTTAGACCTTAATTTTTCGGGCACCAAAGCTACTTTCAATTGCGGGTCAAAAAATATGGTCTTAAAAAGAAACTTATTTCTGCGCTAGTGAAAAGTGTGGGAGTAGGGCCGGCGAGTGTTCGAGTGACTCGTCCACTCGTCCGCTCGCTCGCCCGTCCACTCGCACACTCGCACGCCCTACTCGCACACTCCACTCGCGCAATCGTCAAAAGTCACTCGTGCACTTTTTGGCAATTGTGCTTTAAAATCTTGGTTGCAAACTCTTGGCACCGCCTAATATATATATATATATAATATATTAATATTAACACAACAGCAACTGTCAGGTGCCACCAACCGTTCGACGAAGAGAGCGGCACCTTTCCGGCCGCTGCGAGCCTGGCAAGCGATCTGCAAGTCAACCGCCTACATCGTGAGCTCGTTTCAGGTGGGCTCGCATCAAGGAGGCAAACCAAAAAAAAAATGGGCCGCCTTTCAGTTGGGAATGTGCAACTGTTATGCGGGCTTTCCTTAACGCATTTGATCTGGTGATGTGGCGACTAGGACCTCACATGGTGGTGTCATATTGGTTGTCTTTTAGAAACTACCCCGAAACGGTCCCAAAATCGTCCGGCCTCGGTCCCAAATCGTCCTGACACCCGGCCAATACTCTGAGCAAAGCTCTGAACACTCTCGAAGAGATTGGATGATCCCCTTGACAAATTATTCTCCAGGATTTACCCTACAACCAATATTTTGGTGTCTGGGTGATTCACCGCTGTCACCAACTAAGTGATGGTCATGTACATAGTAAAGGAAGATATCGTAATGCCCCTCAAATTGAAATCTCAACCAAACAAACCACCGGAGGTTCCATCCAAAAAGTGTCGAAGGATTTGTGCCAACCCCTTGCAGTATCGATGGTCTTCCCAACAAGGACCCTGTTGTGTTCCACTCCTCTGTTTTTGGGCCCAAAAACCACACTGTAACATGGCGTTCCCAAAAACAAGGCTCGGACCACAACCAACACAAACCGGCGCCCGTTGCCGAGGCCAGCTGGTCTCAGGCCAGGGCCCAAGGAAAGACACCAAGGCCTCGTGACTCGGAGCCTGGGAGCCTAGCCTCATGTGTTACTGGGTTCCCATTATGCCCTTTGCCCCGATATGCTCCCATGCGCTACGTGAGACTCGACGAGCAACAAAGTCTTTGGGTTGGGCGGTGGTGTTGCGCTGGCTCACGCGACTTGTAGAATGTGGTTCCTGTTGTGCCTGTTGTGTACTAGCTTTGCCAATGTGCAAGAGAGTTTTGGAAATGCAAAAGGTGTGAGATGCTAAGGAGAGGATCTGCGCAGTACAAAAAGCCCAAGGAGCAAACATGCTTCGAGCACGAGGCCTAAAGCAAGTACAGGCCTTAACAAAGCAAAATCCGGAACTCACGCCCCAGCCGGTCGCTGGTAGCGTTAGTGTACACAAATGGGGCTTGTGTGGCTTTGATCTGCACGCTAAGAGCTTTGCACCGGTCTTGCTTGTTAGGCCTAACTGGGGCTGCGTAGAGCCCACTATGAGTCATTAAAAGCCGCAGGTCTGTTGCCGTTGGCGTGTGCATGACGGTGGCCCAGGCACCACATGGCCAATGCCAAAATCTGAAAAGCCCAGGAAACGCTCCAGGCAAAATCCTATGACGTGCCAAATCCCTCTCCGAAGCCCCTATGGGTTCAAAAAGCAGATGGCCGCACGCCGACGCAAGCATGCATGCAAGCATGCATTCAATGCATGCAGGCACGTTGCAAACGTCGTCTATCAAGCGCGTCTGCTTGTGCCTGCTCAAAAGCATCCAGCAAGATCTGTGTCTAGAACTTCAAGTGGACAACGAACTGCCACTTGCCGGTGCTGGTCTCTGCACCGATGACGGTAGCCCCGAGCCCAAAGCCATCATAGCCCGCACCAGTGTTGGAGCCAGACTGGGAAAGCGTCGGTTTCCAGCCCCACTTCTTCTCGCACTTCGACAGAACACAGCCAATGGCAGAGCCCAGGGATCCCTGCAGGGCACCCAAGTTGGAGGTGTCCACGTTGTGCTTGCTGAAGCAGCGCTCGGTGAATTTCAGCAGGTCCTTCTCTTGTGCCGGAGTGGCGTCACCCCGGTGCAAGCTCTGCGCCGTCGCCGTCCCGGAACTGCCGTGATCCCCGCCCTGGCCCTCGCCCTTGTGCAGAATGAACTGCCACTTGCCCGAGGGCGTGTCAACCCCGATGATGCTGTTGCCCTGGCCATACACGTCGTAAGGGCCACCGGTGTTGGAGCCAGAACCTGACAGCTCGGGTGCCCAGTTCCACTTCAGCTTCAGGTTGTAGAGCACACACTCCGTGGCATCGCCCAGGGATCCCTGCAAGCTGCCCACGTTGGAGGTGTCGATGGGGTTCCATGAGAAACAGTCCTGCGCAATCTTCACCATCTCCTCGCACTGCGAGTCATCCGCCCAGCCCCGCAGCAAGCACCTGGCTGAGGTGCCTGCGCTCTTCTTGCTAAGAAACTCCTCCCCAAGCGCGGGGCTCAGCGCAGCAAGACCCAGGATGCGCAGCATGTCGCGAAAGTGGCACCGCTTCTGGGCGAGACTTGGTTTGCCGGAGTCAGCTCGACCCGAAATGCGCCCGCCAGTTTCCCAAATGGAGCCACTGGTGAAAAGACTTCTTGAATCACCTCCCGCACAACAAAGACACGTGGGTATGTGTCACAAAGGCGGGAAGGGGTTTCTTCAGCTTCCCTATGAACCATTGGGCAAAGGACACCCAAGAGCAACACACAAACATGCGTGTGTAGACAGTGATGGCAGATGCAATGCCTTCCGTGCTACACAATTCATGTCTGCGCACCTCCACATGAACCACTGAATCTTGTTTGTTCCCCAATTGGACATAGGAAAGGCTGTTGATAGCGAGCACGTGCCTGAACGAAACAAAATCCGGAACTCACGCCCCAGCCGGTCGCTGGTAGCGTTAGTGTACACAAATGGGGCTTGTGTGGCTTTGAGCACGCTAAGAGCTTTGCACCGGTCTTGCTTGTTAGGCCTAACTGGGGCTGCGTAGAGCCCACTATGAGTCATTAAAAGCCGCAGGTCTGTTGCCGTTGGCGTGTGCATGACGGTGGCCCAGGCACCATGGCCAATGCCAAAATCTGAAAAGCCCAGGAAACGCTCCAGGCAAAATCCTATGACGTGCCAAATCCCTCTCCGAAGCCCCTATGGGTTCAAAAAGCAGATGGCCGCACGCCGACACAAGCATGCATGCAAGCATGCATTCAATGCATGCAGGCACGTTGCAAACGTCGTCTATCAAGCGCGTCTGCTTGTGCCTGCTCAAAAGCATCCAGCAAGATCTGTGTCTAGAACTTCAAGCGGACAACGAACTGCCACTTGCCGGTGCTGGTCTCTGCACCGATGACGGTAGCCCCGAGCCCAAAGCCATCATAGCCCGCACCAGTGTTGGAGCCAGACTGGGAAAGCGTCGGTTTCCAGCCCCACTTCTTCTCGCACTTCGACAGAACACAGCCAATGGCAGAGCCCAGGGATCCCTGCAGGGCACCCAAGTTGGAGGTGTCCACGTTGTGCTTGCTGAAGCAGCGCTCGGTGAATTTCAGCAGGTCCTTCTCTTGTGCCGGAGTGGCGTCACCCCGGTGCAAGCTCTGCGCCGTCGCCGTCCCGGAACTGCCGTGATCCCGCCCTGGCCCTCGCCCTTGTGCAGAATGAACTGCCACTTGCCCGAGGGCGTGTCAACCCCGATGATGCTGTTGCCCTGGCCATACACGTCGTAAGGGCCACCGGTGTTGGAGCCAGAACCTGACAGCTCGGGTGCCCAGTTCCACTTCAGCTTCAGGTTGTAGAGCACACACTCCGTGGCATCGCCCAGGGATCCCTGCAAGCTGCCCACGTTGGAGGTGTCGATGGGTTCCATGAGAAACAGTCCTGCGCAATCTTCACCATCTCCTCGCACTGCGAGTCATCCGCCCAGCCCCGCAGCAAGCACCTGGCTGAGGTGCCTGCGCTCTTCTTGCTAAGAAACTCCTCCCCAAGCGCGGGGCTCAGCGCAGCAAGGCCCAGGATGCGCAGCATGTCGCGAAAGTGGCACCGCTTCTGGGCGAGACTTGGTTTGCCGGAGTCAGCTCGACCCGAAATGCGCCCGCCAGTTTCCCAAATGGAGCCACTGGTGAAAAGACTTCTTGAATCACCTCCCGCACAACAAAGACACGTGGGTATGTGTCACAAAGGCGGGAAGGGGTTTCTTCAGCTTCCCTATGAACCATTGGGCAAAGGACACCCAAGAGCAACACACAAACATGCGTGTGTAGACAGTGATGGCAGATGCAATGCCTTCCGTGCTACACAATTCATGTCTGCGCACCTCCACATGAACCACTGAATCTTGTTTGTTCCCCAATTGGACATAGGAAAGGCTGTTGATAGCGAGCACGTGCCTGAACGAAACAAAATCCGGAATTCGGGCCCCAGCCAGTCGCTGGTAGCGTTAGTGTACACAAATGGGGCGAATGCGGCTTTGATCTACATGCTAAGAGCTTTGCACCGGTCTTGTTAGGCCTGAGTGGGCAGCCCAGTGGCTGCGTAGAGCCACTATGAGTCATTAAAAGCCGCAGGTCTGTTGCCGTTGGCGTGTGCATGATGGTGGCCCAGGCACCACACGTCTAATGCCAAAATCTGAAAAGCCCAAGAAACGCTCCAGGCAAAATCCTATGACGTGCCAAATCCCTCTCCGAAGCCCCCATGGGTTCAAAAAGCAGATGGCCGCACGCCTACGCAAGCATGCATGCAAGCATGCATGCATTCAATGCATGCAGGCACGTTGCAAACGTCGTCTATCAAGCGCGTCTGCTTGTGCCTGCTCAAAAGCATCCAGCAAGATCTGTGTCTAGAACTTCAAGTGGACAACGAACTGCCACTTGCCGGTGCTGGTCTCTGCACCGATGACGGTAGCCCTGAGCCCAAAGCCATCATAGCCCGCACCAGTGTTGGAGCCAGACTGGGAAAGCGTCGGTTTCCAGCCCCACTTCTTCTCGCACTTCGACAGAACACAGCCAATGGCAGAGCCCAGGGATCCCTGCAGGGCACCCAAGTTGGAGGTGTCCACGTTGTGCTTGCTGAAGCAGCGCTCGGTGAATTTCAGCAGGTCCTTCTCTTGTGCCGGAGTGGCGTCACCCCGGTGCAAGCTCTGCGCCGTCGCCGTCCCGGAACTGCCGTGATCCCCGCCCTGGCCCTCGCCCTTGTGCAGAATGAACTGCCACTTGCCCGAGGGCGTGTCAACCCCGATGATGCTGTTGCCCTGGCCATACACGTCGTAAGGGCCACCGGTGTTGGAGCCAGAACCTGACAGCTCGGGTGCCCAGTTCCACTTCAGCTTCAGGTTGTAGAGCACACACTCCGTGGCATCGCCCAGGGATCCCTGCAAGCTGCCCACGTTGGAGGTGTCGATGGGGTTCCATGAGAAACAGTCCTGCGCAATCTTCACCATCTCCTCGCACTGCGAGTCATCCGCCCAGCCCCGCAGCAAGCACCTGGCTGAGGTGCCTGCGCTCTTCCTGCTAAGAAACTCCTCCCCAAGCGCGGGGCTCAGCGCAGCAAGGCCCAGGATGCGCAGCATGTCGCGAAAGTGGCACCGCTTCTGGGCGAGACTTGGTTTGCCGGAGTCAGCTCGACCCGAAATGCGCCCGCCAGTTTCCCAAATGGAGCCACTGGTGAAAAGACTTCTTGAATCACCTCCCGCACAACAAAGACACGTGGGTATGTGTCACAAAGGCGGGAAGGGGTTTCTTCAGCTTCCCTATGAACCATTGGGCAAAGGACACCCAAGAGCAACACACAAACATGCGTGTGTAGACAGTGATGGCAGATGCAATGCCTTCCGTGCTACACAAATCATGTCTGCGCACCTCCACATGAACCACTGAATCTTGTTTGTTCCCCAATTGGACATAGGAAAGGCTGTTGATAGCGAGCACGTGCCTGAACGAAACAAAATCCGGAACTCACGCCCCAGCCGGTCGCTGGTAGCGTTAGTGTACACAAATGGGGCGAATGCGGCTTTGATCTACACGCTAAGAGCTTTGCACCGGTCTTGCTTGTTAGGCCTAACTGGGGCTGCGTAGAGCCCACTATGAGTCATTAAAAGCCGCAGGTCTGTTGCCCTTGGCGTGTGCATGACGGTGGCCCAGGCACCACATGGCCAATGCCAAAATCTGAAAAGCCCAGGAAACGCTCCAGGCAAAATCCTATGACGTGCCAAATCCCTCTCCGAAGCCCCTATGGGTTCAAAAAGCAGATGGCCGCACGCCGACGCAAGCATGCATGCAAGCATGCATTCAATGCATGCAGGCACGTTGCAAACGTCGTCTATCAAGCGCGTCTGCTTGTGCCTGCTCAAAAGCATCCAGCAAGATCTGTGTCTAGAACTTCAAGTGGACAACGAACTGCCACTTGCCGGTGCTGGTCTCTGCACCGATGACTGTAGCCCCGAGCCCAAAGCCATCATAGCCCGCACCAGTGTTGGAGCCAGACTGGGAAAGCGTCGGTTTCCAGCCCCACTTCTTCTCGCACTTCGACAGAACACAGCCAATGGCAGAGCCCAGGGATCCCTGCAGGGCACCCAAGTTGGAGGTGTCCACGTTGTGCTTGCTGAAGCAGCGCTCGGTGAATTTCAGCAGGTCCTTCTCTTGTGCCGGAGTGGCGTCACCCCGGTGCAAGCTCTGCGCCGTCGCCGTCCCGGAACTGCCGTGATCCCCGCCCTGGCCCTCGCCCTTGTGCAGAATGAACTGCCACTTGCCCGAGGGCGTGTCAACCCCGATGATGCTGTTGCCCTGGCCATACACGTCGTAAGGGCCACCGGTGTTGGAGCCAGAACCTGACAGCTCGGGTGCCCAGTTCCACTTCAGCTTCAGGTTGTAGAGCACACACTCCGTGGCATCGCCCAGGGATCCCTGCAAGCTGCCCACGTTGGAGGTGTCGATGGGGTTCCATGAGAAACAGTCCTGCGCAATCTTCACCATCTCCTCGCACTGCGAGTCATCCGCCCAGCCCCGCAGCAAGCACCTGGCTGAGGTGCCTGCGCTCTTCTTGCTAAGAAACTCCTCCCCAAGCGCGGGGCTCAGCGCAGCAAGGCCCAGGATGCGCAGCATGTCGCGAAAGTGGCACCGCTTCTGGGCGAGACTTGGTTTGCCGGAGTCAGCTCGACCCGAAATGCGCCCGCCAGTTTCCCAAATGGAGCTACTGGTAAAAGGACTTCTTGAATCACCTCCCGCACAACAAAGACACGTGGGTATGTGTCACAAAGGCGCGAAGGGGTGTCTTGAGCTTCCCTATGAACCATTGGGCAAAGGGCACCAAAAAGAAACACACAATCATGCGTGTAGACAGTGACGTCAGATGCAATGCCTTCCGTGCTACACAATTCATGTCTGCGCACCTCCGCATGAACCACTGAATCTTGTTTGTTCCCCAATTGGACATAGGAAAGGCTGTTGATAGCGAGCACGTGCCTGAACGAAACAAAATCCGGAACTCACGCCCCAGCCGGTCGCTTGTAGCGTTAGTGTACACAAATGGGGCGAATGGGGCTTTGATTTACATGCTAAGAGCTTTGCACCGGTCTTGTTAGGCCTGAGTGGGCAGCCCGGTGGCTGCGTAGAGCCACAATGAGTCATTAAAAGCCGCAGGTCTGTTGCCGTTGGCGTGTGCATGATGGTGGCCCAGGCACCACACGTCTAATGCCAAAATCTGAAAAGCCCAGGAAACGCTCCAGGCAAAATCCTATGACGTGCCAAATCCCTCTCCGAAGCCCCCATGGGTTCAAAAAGCAGATGGCCGCATGCCTACGCAAGCATGCATGCAAGCATGCATTCAATGCATGCAGGCACGTTGCAAACGTCGTCTATCAAGCGCGTCTGCTTGTGCCTGCTCAAAAGCATCCAGCAAGATCTGTGTCTAGAACTTCAAGTGGACAACGAACTGCCACTTGCCGGTGCTGGTCTCTGCACCGATGACGGTAGCCCCGAGCCCAAAGCCATCATAGCCCGCACCAGTGTTGGAGCCAGACTGGGAAAGCGTCGGTTTCCAGCCCCACTTCTTCTCGCACTTCGACAGAACACAGCCAATGGCAGAGCCCAGGGATCCCTGCAGGGCACCCAAGTTGGAGGTGTCCACGTTGTGCTTGCTGAAGCAGCGCTCGGTGAATTTCAGCAGGTCCTTCTCTTGTGCCGGAGTGGCGTCACCCCGGTGCAAGCTCTGCGCCGTCGCGGTCCCGGAACTGCCGTGATCCCCACCCTGGCCCTCGCCCTTGTGCAGGATGAACTGCCACTTGCCCGAGGGCGTGTCAACCCCGATGATGCTGTTGCCCTGGCCATACACGTCGTAAGGGCCGCCGGTGTTGGAGCCAGAACCTGACAGCTCGGGTGCCCAGTTCCACTTCAGCTTCAGGTTGTAGAGCACACACTCCGTGGCATCGCCCAGGGATCCCTGGGCATCGCCCAGGGATCCCTGCAAGCTGCCCACGTTGGAGGTGTCGATGGGGTTCCATGAGAAACAGTCCTGCGCAATCTTCACCATCTCCTCGCACTGCGAGTCATCCGCCCAGCCCCGCAGCAAGCACCTGGCTGAGGTGCCTGCGCTCTTCTTGCTCAGAAACTCCTCCCCAAGCGCGGGGCTCAGCGCAGCAAGGCCCAGGATGCGCAGCATGTCGCGAAAGTGGCACCGCTTCTGGGCGAGACTTGGTTTGCGGGAGTCAGCTCGACCCGAAATGCGCCCGCCAGTTTCCCAATTGGAGCCACTGGTGAAAAGACTTCTTGAATCACCTCCCGCATAAGTGCCTTTTCTCTTCAGTTTGCATATAAACCATTGGAAAGAGTGCACCCGAGCAACCTGCGTGTAGTCACTGATGTCAAATGCAATGCCTTCCGTACTACACAAATCATGTTGCCTGCACACCTCCACATGAACCACTGACATGGGAAAGCAAAGCTGTCAACACCCAGCGAGAGTCCAAGCCAAAAGGCTCCAAATCCACAGGACCCCGGCCTGTCTGGCGGATCCGCCTTCGCGTTGGAGTCGGCAGACCGGCCTGAGACGTGCCATTTGCTTTGCAATCTCTGCCCAGATAGGCTCCGGAGTTCGTTTCCGGCTCCGCGGTAGGGTTCCGCAAAGGGTCGGGGCTGATGCGGAGCTTATTTTGCTGGCCTGGCAGTTATGGACCCGACCGGATTTAACCAATGACGACATTGAGGTTAAAAACACTGGGTCTTTGCAAGAAACTCCCCTCTACAAGGGGAATTGGTGCATAAAGCTCCCCGCGTTCCACATACTGAGCTCAACAGGGAAACAACAAATGGCAGAGGAGCGCCAGGATGCTCTGACTCTGGTCTGGGTCACCACTCCAAGCAACACTCCCTCCAAACGAAGTGAGATCTCAATGCCAGGTTGCCCCATCCGATAGCGGGCAACGGCTCTGGTGGTGCACAACTTTTGAAAAAGGCAGAAGACAATGTTCCCCGCGGCCCCGCGCCAACTGATCTGCAGGAGGCCTGAACCCCCTTATATATCTACTTGTGGAAGTTGGTCAGTTTGCGCGGCGTCACCGTTTGACAATGACAGATGATGGTGGGTTCGCCTTGATGGTGATTCAAGATGAAGCAACAAATGCACTTTTCGGCCGAGTCCCTTGGTTCAGGACCAACCTGGCAAAACTAGTGATCCCACTCAGTCCGCAGCGTGCGTTTTCCGCAAATCGGGCGAGATGCAGGCCTGTCCTGCAGGCATGCGCAACATGCCCATGAGAAAGGTTGATCCTAAATCCGATCTTTTGAGAAACCTCGTGCCACTCAAGCGTGCGACCCAAGCCTTGTGCCACGGATACTTAATCTCCATTGGGCCAAGAACTCCGAAGAAAATAATATTCCCTAAAAGAAGCTGGTTGCAAAATAGACCCTTAGTGTCCATCGTATGAGCCGCCCTTTTGGCTTTGGTTCCACCAAAACATGAACGCGCACACACCTTTGTTGGCTTTACCACAAGGAAACCCATCAAACGCGCACCAGCGGGGTCCTTCTCCAGCGCAGCCAGCGCCGCGAAGCCGAAGGCCAAAGCCATGGCCACACGCGCAAAGCGGCACAGTGCCAAAAAACTCGGCACGTCCTTGAAGGGGCCCCTGACTTGCGAAGACCATCCCAACAGCTTATATTTGGTAGGGAATTGTGCCGGGGAACACCGTCAAAGTGTGTGTGGATATTCCAAAGTGGATATTCCAAAGTATGTGGGGTCCACCGCGGTGTTCCAAATTATATTTCATGCCCATTCAGGAGTCGCAATACAATGGGTTCATTTGAGAAAAAGAAAATGATCTTACCATATGGGTTCGCCCTAAAGACTAGGAACGACCAACCACTGACAGGATCCCCCCAACGAAAGGAAACGCATGCAATTGTATTGCGGGCACTCCTTCTGGACAACCCTAAGGTGTCATTGCCGCAAAGGTGGCATAAAGAGTCATCTGAAGCCACCCTTTGCTATTCTTCAGTTGTACTCATTTCGGTCAAGTTGCGATGGCAAAAAGGGGGAGCTTAGGCCGAGAACTGGCGGCAAAACATCGTCATGACAAGTCCTGAGCAAGCCAAATGAACCAAAGTGGTCTGTTGATGCCGAGCGCGCCAACAAATGCTCGCGTCGTTGTTGTTGCTGTTGCTGTTGCTGTTGCTGTTGTGGTTGTGGTTGTGGTTGTGGTCGTGGTTGTGGTCGTGGTCGTGGACGCTTTGCCAGCCGCCATCAATGCCACCAAGTTTCCGAAGCCAGGGACGTGGTGCTGCACCAAAAAAAGCCATGAGAGCAGCGCCCAACGCCCGTTGACTTTGGTTCTGCTAACATGGTTATTAAGGTTTCTAGAGGCTGTACTTAGCAAAACGCCTACAAATCGGTAGTTCTCATTTATGGACCCCTTTTAAGGTGGCGCTACGTGTCGGCGTCTGGCCATGTGATTGTCAACTTCGAGAATGTCGGGCGTAGTCTATGTTTAGCCGAAGCTCGCATCGAGCCATCTTTGGGCTGTTGGGTGAGCCATCCCATCCGTGGATTTACAACTTCGCCCTCTTGGCGCGCAACTGAGCGATGTGTCAGTCTGATTCGCACGAAGCTTGCAAGGTCTGGCTCTCCGAAAGTTGTGCTTTGAGCTACTCGTCACAAAAGGGATGCTCGAAACTAGTGGCCCCCACAGCCTGCAACATGCATCCAGGGATATGAAAAATGCATTAATCACAAACGGGGAATCATGAGCCAAAGCAAGCGACTAGCAGCCAGCAAGTAGCCAGCAAGCAGCAAGCACGTCAGTTTTTGGAGAAGAAGAGATCCAGCTTTGGCTGCGCACTCAGCTGGCCAGTCTGTGCGACGCCTGCAGGGCGGTGCAAGCAGACCGCAAAAGGCTGCAAAGCCAACTCCTTTGAAACAGCCCCACGGCCGGAAAGGAAATTCCCTGTCCTTCACTTTTGCACACTTTGGAAGATGCGCAGTTCTGGGGCGGGGGGGGGGGGGGTGTTCTAGCAGGCCACTTGCGAGCAGCACACAGGCAGCCCCCTGCGCAAAGCCTGCCTTTCAGCAGCACAGCGTTGTGGATGACAACCTGATTGTCCGGCCTCACGTGAAGACTAGCGGCTGATCCTACGACTGCATGCAATAAAACTCGTCCTCCAAGACACCGGTGTGAGCTGCCAATGCAAGACTGACGCGGAGCACTCGTTTGCTTAGCCAAGGGGAAGGCCCAAGCTCAGCGGAAGGTGTGACCACAGGCTCAGTAAGTATGGCAAATCTGGTAAGGCACAAAGGAAACCCCCATGAGCAAGCTGTAATATCATGTGGCAAATCCGTGAAAACTGTGAACAATGATTCAGCCCCATGCGTTGGCCACATGAAGCCTTCGGTCGCTCCCATTTGAGTGCCTTAAGGGCAGGGCTGTGGGGAATGACCACTTCTGTGATACAACAGAAAGGGCTTCCCAACGACTATTTTGTTCATATAAAGGGGGATTCCCTTGTATCACAGAAGTGGGGAGAAACCCCTTGATCCCACAACCCTGCTTAAGGGTCAAACTCTCTCGTAGGCATCCAACTCTTTGGGAGATTTCAGCGTCACGTTGGGGTTGTCCTCACCTTCGTCCTCCCTTTTAAGGACACTCAAAGGATATCATAGAAACATTTTGGGGGTGCTGAATCGCATTCAGCCGAAAGCCCCGAGGAATGCTGAAGGGAAATCAATAGAGCGCCCTTACCATCCAACAAGGGTACCTTTAAAGAAAGACACACCCACATGATGTGTTCGAACAGGGCAACATAGCACATCAAACACCCCGGCCCTGACCCCCGGCACCCAACAAGCCTTACACAAACCGTTCCACCATGCAAGAACCACCTGGACCACCTGGACCACCTGGACCTGAAATCGGAAGCCCAAAACGAGGGCTCGGGGGACGCTTCGCAGCTTCGCCATGGGGGCCCCGAAGTTCGGGCCCCCGGCTCGATGAGCAGCGCCTTCTCGAGGCCCTGGGCCGCCTGCTGCCAGGCCCCAGCCGCCATCCACACCTCGGCTTCCCATAGCGTGGCTCCGCTCGATGGATTCAGTTCAAATTCGTCGGGAGCATAAAACGCCTTCTAAGCCTGGTAGGCCCCTAAAGGAAACCTGTTGCGGCGCAAGGGCCTATGCTCAAAGCCCGAAATTCTTCAATCACACCCCCCCCACCCACCCAATTCTTGTAAAAGGTTCTCCATACTCCACAGCTGCCGCAATTCAAGGGATCAAGCCTGGAGTACGATCTCAACATACTTGATATATTTTTTGGCATGGGGAGAGACAAGTCTCAGAACGAATTTGTGGGGTCCCGGGCCACCGCCAGGTTGGACCACAGCACCGGGTTCTCCGGGTCATACTCCAGGCCTGGTCGGATTGAACCAACTTTCGGTGTACTGGCCATTTTCAGTTTGGTTCCAAATTGACCTGGAAATGGGACACCGAAGATGGATGGGGACTTGTGGGCATGAGGTCGGATGGGTTCAAACAAACCCACGGTTCAAGGAATCTGGACAAAATACCGTAATTCCTAATTGAGAATTTGGCAACCCCTGTTGAATGGCCTTTATCATAGGTGAGCCCCAGCTGGATGGGAAACGTAGAAACCCTGGAATAAGATGACATTTGTTGATTCACAGTGTAGAATGTGAGGCGCCTGTGTGCAAGAGACGTTCGGATCAATCAAAGAATCTATGGCGCCATTCTGAGGGTCATCTAGGGCCCTGCACTGAGTATTCGTTCTTTCGGCTCTTTGTTGCTGACTTCTGTTCTTCATGGGAGCAGTGACAACCCTGCGTCAATACCCTTGCTCACCCGGCCACAATACAGTTGAGAGCAAATGTACTGGATGCTGCGCATGAGTCTTGTAAGAGCCAAATATTTCACCGGCTTCGGTTCGGGAAGCTCCTCTAATGGTGGGTGCTCTGGGCAATGGCTTGGCCCTGTCCAAGGACATTTGCCCCTGACAGGCGACGGAAGAACTCCCAGTGATGCACCCATCGCTGCTTATGGCTTGTGAAGGGCAAACATCAGGTTCCAGGGATCGAAACTGGAACTTAGAAGCTGATCGTGCAACTGCACGCAACGAAGCCTTGCTTTGCCAAGCTTGAAAACCAAGCACCTAGGTGAGACATTTGTCAGCCTGAGGGCAACCAATCTGAGGCAATTGTCACAGCGAAGAGGCCGGCCGTAGCAAGAGAAATTCAGACGGTTTCCGAAGAAAAACTGGCACGAAAGAAAGAAAGACAGACAGACAGACAGACAGAAAGAAAGAAAGAAAGCAACAAGACACAGAGGAAAGAAAGCAAGATAGAAGTGAAAGGGTAAAGGGACAAGATGGAAATAAAAGAAAAAAACAAACACGACAAGAGAGGCATCATGCTTCACTTTTGAGCCCCACCTCTAGCAAACACGTCTTGTGCTTCCTGCAGCTGGTTCAGGCTGGCCAGAGCATAACCTCGGCTCTCGGCTCTCCCTCTGACGTCATGGTCCAGCCCGTGTGGGGAATCAAAGGGAAACCATCCATTGTGAGACATACCTCCAACATGTTTCAAGCATGACTGTTTGAGTCAACTCCTTCGTTCCCCTTTACAGGGGACCATAAAACAGTTGCCTCAACAATTATCGCAACCCACCCTGGCGACCGCTTTCGGTCCAACAACTGGTTGGTTTCGTCTTCGCTTCATTCAAGCCGTCAACACTTTCAGTGATCCAGTTTGTTTGAGACATACGGTACCCACAGCTTTTGGCCGTTGCTGTCCAAACAAGTGCTTGGACTTGTTTTGGGAGAAGCCAAGAGCAGGCAAGCGAAACCGCCAATCTTGGGGGTCTCCCGTCTTTGAGCACCTAGACCTACATCAACAGGGTTTTCTGGAGTAAATCGCCCACCAAAAGTAGACTGACCATTACATAAACAACCCTGGTCCCCACTGCGCGCACCTGGGTCCCCCATCCCAAGGCATTCTGCCCGTGCGGCACCGCTGCATTCCTGCAGAGGGCGGGGAAGCCACCCGAGCCTCGCTTTGGGCACAAGACTGGGTAATTTTAGGGTGTCTCCTCGGGCGGCCCAAGAGCTTGCCGGAATTCTCGGTCTGCAAACGCGTTGCAAGTTTAGGGTGTCTGATTGTGGAACCCAAATAGCTGCCCACAGCTTTTCCTTGCCTTCAAAAAAAGAGGCGACCCGGCGGCTCCCAGTCCCCGCGCTCACGCCTGGAAAGGCCGTGTTCCAACGGCTGGATGGCCTGTCAAGGACCGCCGAAAGCAAAAAACAATCACACCAAAGGGGCTGCCCGTGTCAACAATCAACAAAACAAATGCTGAAAATGCAACCCAAAGCTTGCCTGGCTTCTGTTGGCCGTTGCTCTTACTACCGATGTGCCTGTGATCTTGGGATCTGGAACGGAGGTTTGTCTGATGTTCCCCTTGATGGCTTTGGCAGTGCAAGATCGGGCTCGACTGGGTAGCGAAGCGCTTTGCTGCATGCCTGCGCTTTGGCTTCGCGTGCTCTAGCGTTCCTGTGAAAGACTTGCGGTGTATTTCATGAGCTGTGCAAGGGGACAGCTCAGCAGCCCAGCGGCTCTACTTGACAAAGAGACGCAAACGCCTCACTCTGGCATGCAAGGCGCAGTGTTGCCGGCTCTGCACCCCCCCAACTGGTTGAAGAAATTGTCGGGCCTTTGGCTTTGGGGAAGATGCTTGCTTTGCAGGGTAACACACCATTGACCATGCAGACTCCCGAATGCCATCTGGCCACATCACAAGCAAATTGGAGCAGGGCCTCTGGTGCAAAGAAAAGAGAGAAAAAGAGAGAAAGAGAGAGAGAAAGAGAGAAAGAGAGAAAGAGAGAAAGAGAGAAAGAGAGAAAGAGAGAAAGAGAGAAAGAGAGAAAGAGAGAAAGAGAGAAAGAGAGAAAGAGAGAAAGAGAGAAAAGAGGAGAA